TAATTGTTGCACTATCTTCCTAGGCCTTTAATGTTCTGTTGTAAGTAGAACATCTTAACGACAAGTGAAGGACCCTTGGAAACAGCTGTTTGTGAGACAAGGTTTCACCTTGAACTTGCTATGTAGCTGAGGCTAGATTTGAATTCTTGATCCTATTTCTATCAACTTGGTTGGCTGAATGTTTCCTTTGCAAAAGTGAACAAAAGTTCTCATCATCAATCTTGAGTTTGTTTTAATGTTATAAAGCAATATGGAGAGAAATATTCTTTACACTGACTTTTTAACATCGCATCCAATATAAACACGCTTTAATAAGATTTAAAAGGCTGATAATTGAAAAGTCAAAAAGATTCAGGACTTAGGCATCGAAGCTATCTATGTTTTGTGGTTATGATTGTATCAAACCTAATTTGTTTCTCTAGACTGGTGTAGCTTATTCCATTTTTATCTTTAATCAGGCTACAATTTAAAAGTAGCAGACTAGCTCAAATCTGGTGGGATTTTGTTATTTAGTAGGGACCAGACTCATTAGGACTGACTTCCAGCATTTTACCACTTGGATCAGGAGAAGAGGCTGAAGCAGTAAGAGTTTGAACTTAACCCCAAATTGGGTTACATAGACCCCACTTGAGGGAGAAATCCTAATCACAATACCATCTCTAGCGGCCATAATTTAAAATTTTTTTTGTGTGTGCATGTTTGTTCCTCAAAAACGCATGAGGTCATAAGGAAGGTCCAGTTCCATATGGATATTGGGGATCAAGCCTCAGTTTCCTATAATAAATGGTAATGCTCTTAACTACTGATCTTTCCAGCTATCGTAATTATTTTGCTGTCCAATCACAAATAGCTTCCAATAGATGACTTAATTTTTTGTAACACTGGTAAGTCCTACAAGTATAACTTTCTACTTTCCACCTAGTAGCCAACCCACCTTCTGTAGTGTTCAAAAGGTCTCAGAGGCACACGTGACTTTTTTAATGTGTAGCTTAGGCCAAATTTAAAGCATGATTACTGAATTACCATCATTTCTTGGTGTGGTTTTGTAATGTGATGGTAACACACTGACTTTGGTCATGGAATTTGGTCATGGGATATACCCAAAAGTGATCTGGCTGTGACTGAAACTTAAAAGAGGGTGTGGCTCTGGCCTAGGGATACCTAGCACTAGTAAGAAGCATTTCTCCTTTTTCAGTACCAGGGATTGAACTGAGGGCCTTGCAGTGTTAGGGTACAGACTGATCTGTAAACAGCACCCCTAGGCTACCCTCAAAATTGCTAATTCTGCCTCTGCCTTTTTAACGTTACTTTGACAGATTACAGGTGGTTCTAAAGTGTTTGATGTGGGTGCTAGGAACCTGGACCTGAATCCTCTCCAAGAAGAGTAAATGCTCTTAACTGTTGAGCCATCTCTTCTCTTTCCAGCCTCTGGCCTTTTTTCCCCCCTGAGAAAAATTTACATGATCCCAGATAACACATTTTTCAAGTTTCTGTATTAAGTTACTCCTGACAGACAAGAGTTTTTTGGGTTTTTTTTCCTCAAAAATTGGAAAGATTTACGTCTACAGTGCATCATGATGGGGAAAGTATAGCTGTCTGAGGCTGATGCTCTACTTGCTTTCCCTTTTAATTTCTTCTGTCTGCCCCCCCCCCCCCCCCCAGCGCAACTAGGGACCCTGCCTCATAGGTAGTATCACATTCTGGGTAAGTCTTCCCTCTGGTTTAAAATACAGAAAACTGGAATAGATTTACTGTGAAAATACCACCACAGTATTTAGGCTTTTTGTTGTGTTGGAAGAATGAATTTTGGAGTTGAGAGCTAAAACTCCAGAAAGCAGTAGAGTTTAGCTGGGACTTCAGGTGACCATGGAGAAGGAACTGGTACTCTTTCCAGAATACTTTCGAAACCATTCATGATACATTCTAGTAGAGAAATCTGGCTGCATTCTCATGCCCAGAGAACTTCATCAGGCACAATTCAAAGCTACAGGCTATATGCTTGATAGTGGAACTTAAATTTTCAGGGAATTCCCTCATAGGTACATCTGGAGAGCAACACTGACTCTTAACTATCATGATGGGACTTTTGAATGATACAGGAATTAAAAAGACAGCCTGAAAAGCTGTAAGAGTCTGCAGCTACTATGCTTATTCATGAGATCTTGTCTGTCTTTTAATATGTAAGATTGACAAGAAGGTGAAAGCTGCTTCAGCACTTGTATACTATGTCATAGACCAATGATTAAAAACTTTAAGCATGCCGTTTGGAAAGTAAAATCAGTTTTAATTTGCAAGTGATAATGATTGAACAAAATGCTGGTGCTGTGTTTTGGAAGACTTCATTACTTCAAGTTCACATCTTACAAAGTTGAGTAAAGTTAGTGGTGTCATTGTCAACATAAACCAGGCAGTGCTACAGAGCTGAGTGTATAAATATATCTGTACTTGCATAGTCAATCTCTTTGTCAAGGCACATGAATGACCATCTCAACAATCACATAGGGAAAATGGTGTCTTCACAGTATACAATAAATAAAATACAATAAATAAAAAGGGTGTTCAATCCTCTAGTCCTAGCTACTCACAGCTGAGCAATACCAACCTGGACTTTTCAAGATGGAACAGAATTCAGGCTGTGGTACAGGTATTGCTCACGGCTCTTGCTGTAATGTATAGTGAGGGAGCAGAAAGATGAAAAATAGCAAGTTGAAAGTGCCACACAGGGCAAAGTCAAACATCTATAATTGTTAAGAGATTAGTGCCATTAAGAGAAAACCTCAGACCCTTCTCCTGAGCAAGAAGTGCTGTGTGCAAGAGCTCATCCAGCAAAGGGTCCATTTTTCAAAACTACAAATTCATCTTAAGGAAAAGACCTGGGAATGTCACCAGAGTTCCCTGCTCAAAACCGTCTAGAAAGTTTTCTCAGCATCAGTAGAGGCCAATACAACTGTGAGACAAGAGCATCTATATCTTGAGCTGTCAGCGGAGCCTGGCATGAGCATCTAAGTGGAGCTAATTTATAACTTAGGTGAAGATTTGTCATAGAAGCTTATGGCAGTTCCAGAAGGCCACTGATGATAAGCAAAGTGTGGCAGGGTCAGATTCCTGAAATGAAGCTAGGAAGCTAGGAAAAATGAAGCATGAAGCCAGGAAAGTGAAGTCTAAATAAAACCCAAGGATGTTGGAGATGCCAGGAAACACAGAATATTTGCTAATGAAAGCTGAAAAGTGGAAACAGACCAAGAGAAGAGGTTAGGTGTGCTCTAGTCAGACCTTCATACATTAAGATAGAGCATGAAGAATTGCAAATTCATTTTCAATTCCTGGGACAGATTCTACATCACGTATCCTCTTCCATATATTGCCGATTAACTTCGTAGTGTTTTAAGGATTTTCATGTTTTTATTCATAACAACCTATAATATCCTTGACCTTACTCTTGGTATTATAAAGAACGCCTCATAAAATAATCCAGGCAATCCTTCTAAGCTTTGAGTATGTAAAGCTGGTCTATATTTTTGCATCTGGATGTAGTGGTGCACCCTTTTAATTCCAGCACTCATATTCAAGATGCAGAGGCAGCTGGATCTCTGTGAGTTCAAAGACAGCCTAGTCTACACAGTGGGATCCTATCTCAACAAAAAGCCAAGACATTTGATTTTAACTAAGAATGAATGTATTGTAGTTCAGGAAGTTATGTGTACCCTGGATTTGATATTTGTCACCCATTAAACCATACATTCTTACTAAGATGGAAATCATGTAGCTGGACATATATTAGCATTTACAGTTTCATGGATGTGTTATTAGTATTACTATTATGACTCTGAGTCACACCATCTCTGCTCTTGAACTTGGGAATGACAAATCCATTCAAAAGCCAATTAAAACTCACTGCCCTGGCCCAGATGTCACAAGGAAGTGAAGAAACAAAATTCAGACTGCTTATTAGCACCAGTTTTGAAGCAACGTTAAAGGTCTATTTCATTACAGAATTTCAAAACGCGTAGTAAAAGTAAAATGGACTTGTTATTTACCTTTTTCACAAAGCAAGGTCTGCGTCCATTATGTATTTGCCATAGATGTGACTATCTTGTGAAGAGCTCATGAATCTTTCACCACCACTAGGTGGAGGACCCGACACCTGTCTCAGGCAGACTGGTTTGTGAAATGAAGCAAAACTAGAAAAAGTTAGGGACCACGGTTCAAGAGCTCCAAACGCAGCTCAGAAGAGGTCTCGGGTTCCAGATACAAGTGTCTAGTAACTTAAGTTTAGGCAATCCCCATCTCCTAAAGACACACTCCCTCCTTAGCTGGGGTTCCCTGTCATTTCTGAAAATGGTCTTCATGCTTTCTGGCAAATAAAGGACGTCAGCGAGTCTGCAGTACAAATTCCAGCAGCCTTGGGGCTGAAAGGACCTTGCACCAAAAGGGAAGTCCGGAGAGAACTGAATTCTCCACCACCGTTTCCCGCCTTCTTGATCCTTCACAGGCTAAAGGGACCGGTCTATCTCCGAAAGCCTCGGGTGCCTCCTCCTCTTCACTTTTTCCACTTGTAAGCTCACACTGACATATTCCAAAAGCTCAGTATAGAACAGGAAGCAAGGAAGTTTCTTAAAACATCGCTTCTAGCTTCTCAAAGCTTCCCCTTTAAGGAACCAGGCCTACCTCTTTCTCATTCACCTACTGGCTTTCCTTTCTGCCCGTCACTCTACCTTTAAGAATGTTTCCTGTTCTTTCAACCCAACTTACACACCTCCGCCCCCCGGCCGTGTTCATTGGGCCGCCTGAGGCCTGTTCTCTCCTAGCTTTTCCCTCCGCCTCCTCCCGCCCTCTAGCCTAGCGCAGCGGCATTCCGGCTGCCGATTGGCTGGGACGGCAGCCTCCCCAGCTCCGGATTGGTAGGCCGGTCGGCTGGGGCGGGCGCGCGGCGCATCCAGGTTAGGCTGTGCGCGTGCGGAGCGGCGGCCGCGGGAGGGGCGGGAGGGGCGGGGGGAGGGGGGCTGGGAAAGTTGAGGCCGTGCTGCCGCCGGGTCTCCGGCCTCGAGGGCTCGGGCTCGCTGCGGCGGCGGTGGCCGCGAGGAGAGGCGGCGGGGGCGGGGGGAGAGGAGGGCCCGGGCCCACGCTCCCCCAGCCCCGCAGAAGCAGGCGGCGGCTGCCGACCCAGAGGCTCGCCTGGACGGCCAGACACCGCTGTCTTCCGCTCCTGGGATCATGACCCAGGCGGGGGTCGCCGCCACTGCGGCCGGGAGCGCGTCGCCGGCGGGTGAGTGGCCGCGGGAGGGGGCGCTGACAGCCTGGGCCCCGGCTGCGGGGGCGGCTCCGGGGGGCGGCCCCGGGCTCAGCTCCACCCACCCCCTCCAAGCCGAGGGAGGTGAGGGCTAAGCGGAGTGCTCCTGGTTCCCGGGGATCCCAGAGTGCCCACCTGACCCGGGGCGAGCGCCTTCTTCACCTTGGCCTGCCCGCACCCTCGGTCCCAGGCCCGCGGGGGCTTGCCCCGCTCCGGTTCTCACCGGCGGACAGAGGCCCCATGCTGTCCTGGGTGCATAAAGAACTGGGCTGCCAGGTCCTCTCCAGGTGGCCTTTGCCCGCCTCCTTCACCTTTTGCCATCTCTTCCATCTCTTTCCTCGTCTTCTGACTTTCCTTCTGACCCACTCGTCAAACTCGTGCTGCCTGCTTTTGTAACTTTCACCCCTGTGTTGGAGAGTTAGGTTGACGTTTTCTTTTTCGAAGCTCATCTTTTTGCTGCTGAACAGCCCTGGTCCAAGCGAACGGCTAGCTCGTCTGATTTCCTATTTCCTGAACAAGCATGAGTTTTCTGGGCTCTTGCTGAGGTTGGACGCTTTGACTATTGCGTTCTCTCATGGATTTTTTTTTTTCTTTATTGACCTCGTCTGCAGATAAGAGATCACATAAAACTAACTGCCAAATCCCAACGAATGTTCGAGTAACATTTTACCCACTAAATAGAGTAAAGTAGCATGCAGGACAGTTCTGGCTAGCATGCAGGACAGTTCTGGCTAACTTTACGGGTAGCAGTGGGCAGATTGCTTAAGGAAACTATGGTGAGTGGACTTTTCAGCACCTTTTCCTCATGGCCAGCCTGCCTTGCTTTTTGCGATCTCTGCCCTCTCGACAGTCACCCTAGTGACATTTTCCTTTCCCCAGGACTCTTGATTTGCTGCGTAGATACGGTGTTTTCATTTGTTTGGGAAGTACACTGAAAGTATTTGTTGCAAAATAAGTAAGATGCATTGTAATCATTCCACTTTCTGAAACCAAGTGTTGTAAACAAAAGCTGTGTCAAGCATGTTTCACCAGAAGGCCCGTGTGACCCAGAATAACCATGAATGTGGCCCAACACAAAGTTGAAAACTCATTCAATACCTTTGGTTTTTTGTTTTTATTTGTTTTGTTTTGTTTTTAATCTGATCATGTGGCTCCCAAGGGTGACTGTGTAAATGACAAGGTTGTGTCACAATGTCAAAATGTTGGGTACCTAGTCTAAATAGTATGATTTAGTGTCTCTGTGTACTTAAAAGTAGTTTTGTGAAGTTTGTGCATGGATGAAACGTAGGACATTTCCTTGCAGTGTGGTAAAGGCCACTTAGAATAGCTGGTTGTGCAGGAAACACTAAGGAAACACTATTTAACTCAGGTTGGAAGAGAAGTTTCCACAGGTAGCAAGCTCAGAACCACTGCCTTTAAACCCAGGCCTTAATGTTATCTCACATCGTTCCTTCCTGTGGTCAAGCTCAATGCTTCCTTAACTGGACTGTTTGTTATAATCACCCTGTTTCAATTCACAGCCGTTACCTTTGACCTGGAGGGAGGTAGGCTGTGGGTATACTTCTTAACACTCTCCAGGCAATTCTGCTCAGCAGCCAGGGCTGAAAATTACCTTAAGCTTGGTACAGTGTCCAGACTGTTGTGCTTGTATTCCAGGGCTTTCCATGGCAAACCTTCAGTTGTGTATTCAACTGTTGCCTTAAAGCCTTCCATGTGAACCTTTGGACCCCCTAACTCCTACAGATAATGCAATTTAGATCCTGCTGTTGCTAACATGGGTGTTTCTCAGGATATGGATCCCTACTCGTAATTCCCTTACCTATCAGTGTAGAGTCTAAGTAATTGTGTGACAGACCTCTTAAATAATGTAATCTTTGGTATATACATGCACATATATGTGTGTGTTGGTATAGTGGTACATGATCTCCTTTTGCTCCTAGGCTGACTTTGAATTTGCACCAATCCTTGTGCCTTTATTTTCAGGTGTTAGGATTACTGTGCCTTCGTACTTGGCACCAACAGAAGTTTTAGTGTTTCATTACATTTATTGAGAGAGACAGGGAGGGAGGGAGGGTGGGAGAGAGATGTGCCTACATGTGTGTGAGAGAGGCTTGTTTTTGCCACAGTGTGTGTGTATGTGAGTGTGAGTGTGTGTGTGTGTGTGTGTGTGCGTGGCTCAGAGGATAACTTGAGAGTCACTCCTTTTTTCTGCTGTGTGGGACTGGACTCAGATTGCCAGGTTGGCAGCAGGTACTTGCTAAGCCATTTCACCAAGCAAACAACAAATTTTTCGTTTTGTTTTTCAAGACAGGGTTTCTCTGTGTGGCTCTGCCTGTCCTGGAACTGGCTCTGTGGACCAGACTGGCCTCGAATTCTGAGATCTACCTGCCTCTGCTTCCTCAGAGCTGGGATTAAAGGTGCCTGCCTGGCTAACAACAAAAATTGAAAAATTTTAATTATACATTTTATGAAGTGTCTTCAGAGATACTACCCTAATTTTTGTTTATTTCTTTCAATGTTGGTTTGTTTGTTTTTTTGTTTGTTTGTTTTTGTTTTTTTGAGATAGGGTTTCACTGTGTAGCCCTGGGTGTCCTGAAACTCACTCTGGAGACCACCCGGTCTCAAATTTACAGAGAATCACCTGCTTCTGCCTCCCAGGTGCTGGGATTAAAGATGTGCATCACCACCACTTAGCTATTATTTTTAACTGAAATAGAATTTTATCACCTTTTTCCTCTCCTTTTCCTCCCTCTAGCCCTTCCCAGCTACCTTCCCTCAAACCCCTTCCATGTCCTCTATCTCAAGTTGATAGCCTCTTTTTCTTTATTATTGCTTGTTACATACATATATTGTATACAAGTGTGTGTGTGCATGGTATATATAAATACAACCTTCTAAGTGTTTTTGTTGGTGGTGTTTATATAGTTTTAAGTCTGACCACTCTGCATTGAATAACCAGTAAGTGGCTTCATCTCTGGATAAGACTAATTTTCCTTCTCCCAGCAGCCTATAGTTCTTCCTGTAGGGATGGGAACATGATGAACTTTTCTCCATTCCACTGATGTTGCCATTGTTCTGAGCTTGCTTACTCCGCCATTTCCAGGAGAGACCATATCACAGCAGACTTCTTGGTCTTCTGGGTCTTACAGTCTTTCCCACCCCTTTTCCATGGTGTTCCCTGGACCAGATGCAGGAGCTGTGTGTGATGTAGATGTATCTGCTGGAGCTTGCTCCCTCCAATCTGTTGTTCTCTGCATTGTGTCCAGTTTTGTGTTTTGTTTTGTGTGTGTGTGTGTGAGAGAGAGAGAGAGAGAGGGAGGGAGGGAGGGAGGGAGAGAGAGAGAGAGAGAGAGAGAGACTCCATCACTGTAAAGAGAAGTGTCTTTGATGAGGGGTGCTAGCTATACTTATCTAGGAAAGATGGCGCCCACATCTTGGCCTGTTTTTATGATAAACTCTCTTTGAACTTTCAAACTACATGTTGTTTACAAGACTCCCTTTGTACTGATAGTGTGGGTGTATTTAACATATATTCTTGTTTCTTTCTTTTACAATTCAGTGGCAAGGGGCATTTTGTTTTTGTGGCTTAGGACACTCTTGGACTCATTAGCCATGTTTTTTTTTGTTTGTTTGTTTTTGTTTTTGTTTTTCGAGACAGGGTTTCTCTGTGGTTTTGGAGCCTGTCCTGGAACTAGCTCTGTAGACCAGGCTGGTCTCGAACTCACAGAGATCTGCCTACCTCTGCCTCCCGAGTGCTGGGATTAAAGGCGTGCGCCACCATCGCCCGGCCCTAGCCATGGTTTTGAGACATTCCTGCTGTCTCTTAGCGGTGTCTTTCCTGGTATTCAGTTACTGCCGGCATGTATGGATGCAAAAGTTATTGTCAGTGGTTGGTTTTTGTTTCTTTTTTTTTTGTTGTTGTTGTTTGTTTGTTTGTTTTAAGTCAGTGTATCTTAAGTAGCCTTGGCTATCCCAAAACTCCCTATGTAGACCAGGCTGGTCTCAAGTACTTGAGATCTACCTGCCTCTGACTCCAAGTGCTGGGATTATGGTTGTGTTCCACCATGTCCTGCTTTCAGGGTTTTTTTTTTTTTCCCTTATATTTTCCGACTTTTTTTTTTTTTGGTTTGAATTTTGCTTTATTGATAGAGTCATTTTCCGACTTTTTTCAGCAGGTTGATTATTTTCTATTTTGTGTCCCCAGTCCACTTGCGTTTATTTCTGTGTTAGGACTTAACAGATTGCCACAGGTAATCTGTTTATTTGACTGCTAGTTTTCAGGGCATCTGTGTTCAAGGGCATGATCTGCATTGTATTCCTAGATGCAATATGGCAGGGCTAGAACATTGCAGCCATAGGAACTGTGTCCTCTAGGAATGAATGTGTCATTTACAGACACACATACACACACACAAGTTTTTAAAAAGTGTGTTAAATTTGACTGCCGTATTTTATTATATACAAAGGGTATAAACACACATCTTTAACAAAATTTTAGTTGATTCTGAACATTGGTAGTATATGCCTTTAATCCCAGCATAGTGCCAGGCAGATCTCTGAGTTTGAGGCTAGCCTGGTCTAAAGAGCTAGTTCTGGAACAGCCAAGGCCACACAAAGAAACCCTATCTTGAAAAACAAAACAAAAAAGGTTAATTTGACATTAATTGACTTTGCTACAACATATTGTCTTAACTTCAGTTATATATTTTTCATAAAGACCCCTTAAAGGTATAGTCTTCCATATGTACATACACCTTGAGCATTTTTCTCTGAGCTTATTATTCATAAAATATTTGTGAAACTCTTGCTAATAAAAAAACTGTTAATTGTTCAATTGGATAATTTTTCTTTTTCTCATTCAATTTTCCATGTGGGTACAATTGTGCTATTTCAGAAGGCCAGATCTTTTAATTAGATCAGTAGGGCATGATAAGTTGCTCCTATTAATGTGCTAATACTGTGTTTTTAATTCAGTT